ACGGACTCTAGTCTAAACCTAGCCCTGTAGACTTCAGACGGATTTTGTGTTCCATACCTGAGTTCTAGAGCCGCTATCAGTGCTCTATAGTTGAGCCTGTCGTCTGCTGACAACTGTCCAAGTAATTCCAGTGGTTGTCCCTTCAGGCTTGTTGCCAGGTATACTGCTTTCTGCTCCTCAATCCATCCATTCATTTCTGCCAGTAGCTCAAATTGTGCTCTATATGCTTCCCACGATGCCTTTCAATCCAATTCCTGTGGCTTCCTTCGTACTGGATCACCCCTATTGCTGACATTCAAATCTGGGATGTGACTTCTGACAGGACTGAAGAAGTCTGCATGAGGGTTTAGCTGCAGGATCTGGAAGGGGCTTTCAGTTGTCTGGGGCTGATTAGGTCCATGGTTAATATATCCTCCCTGTGTAAAAGACAGTAAATCGTCCTTTAATGTATCTAATTTACTTTGAAATTTACTAATGTTTTCCATTTGTACTTCTTGTCACTGTTGTTGACTTTCCTGTAGTTGCTGCTGACTTTCCCGCAACTGTTGGAGACTTTCTTCCTGTTTCCTTTCTTGTTCCAGTTGCCACTGCTGTAGTCTCTCTTCTTGTTTATTTTCTTTCTCCTCTAACCACTGTTGTAGCCCCTCTTCTTGTTTCTTTTCTTTTTCCTCCAACAACTGCTGTAATCTCTCTTCTTGTTTCTTTTCTTTTTCCTCCAGCAACTGCTGTAATATCTCTTGTTTATTTTGCTGTTCGAGCTGCCACTGTTACAAGTTTTCTTGCCACAGCTGTTTTCTCTTTTCTTGTTTATTTTCTCGTTCTTCTTATTTCTTTTGCTGCTCTTGTATTGCTGCCATCAAATCTGATAAGCTGTAGTTTGATTTGCCACTTCTCGTTTCCATCTTCTGACACCAATTTGTTACTTATCTGCTTGTTTGATAATTTCCGGTATATATTCTTTCCGGGTGACTTCAGCGATACAAGTCATTTCTTAATTAAAACTAGTTTATTCTTTCTCGATACAACTTTGCAATACACAAAATTTCCACAGTCACTTTAACTTAACTACTTTTATAAACACACGCTATAATTCACAGCGATTCACACACTTTACTTTCTTAATTAAAACTAGTTTATTCTTTCTCGATACAACTTTGCAATACACAGAATTTCCACAGTCACTTTAACTTAACTACTTTTATAAACACACGCTATAATTCACAGCAATTCCCACACTTTACTTACAGTGCCTCCTGTTCGCTTGACTCAATTGTCTCCATTCAGTCTATCTCCGGCTTATATACTAAAAAAAGAGGGCGTCTAGCAAACGCTGAGACATTCGTGAGGTTGCCCGATAAGTCACGATCCTTCTAGAAACTCCAGCGCGCATGCTCCCAGCGTCGCGTAACTTCCGCTGTCATAACAATATGTTCTGTAATTTGAACGGTAAAATAATGGATGTTCCAATGTGATGATAGGGTGTGATTGTAGCACATGCCAGTTGCACTAAAGCAACTTAGATCCAACTCATATTCCAATAAATTGTTCCTGTAATGTATGAGCTACAGTGGATGTGAGGCATCTGAAAACACATGTTACATGTTAATAAAGTATGTATTTATATTACAGACGAGTTCTTAGGGTACTGACTTGACCAGGAATCTAGAAAAGAAACTAATGAGTCAGAAGAAGACGAGTACATTGCCGTCATCTTGACCCACCTGACAAGGGAGAGGAAGCTGCAGGTACTTAACTGAGGGAAATCAACGAATAAAATGAGGCATTGTTGTAACTATAAACAACTACCTGAGGATAGAATGTCAATGCAGACTTCCCGTTCAATATGTATGGGATTGGTCATCAAATCTAGGATGGCCAGGTAGTTAGAAGACTATTGACTGAAAAGGTGTAATGAGCCCCTTACCTTTCAATCTTCAAGTGTTGACATGAAATACAGTGTATGCATTAATCTGTATGGCTACTGCTTGATTGTCAAAACTATTACAGTTAGGTAGTTGCAGGACTACTGATGAAAAGGGTTCAGTAATCAACTGCTTTTCGAGCCCAAAGTGGTAATATGAATTATCGTATATGCACTACATCTTATGGTTATTGCTTGATCATGACAAGTTTGATGATCGAAAAGAGATAGCCTTCCTCCTTGTTTTCTGAACTATCGAGTATTAAGGTTTTGTCGAAACTATGTATTACATTTTGAGGCTGCTATTCCATTATTGGCAATCAGGATCGTTACTGTTCTTTGGTTTTCAAGCTATATAGTGATAATGAGATGCAATGTATGCACTATATTGTTGAATTTTCACTCAGTTATTCACAGTTAGGGTGATCATGTGATTAAAAGGGTGTTGCAATTTCTGGCTTTCTGAATCGGTGAGTGAACTTTCTGATGTGAAACGTCGTCCAATGTTAACTCTGAAAGTTACTTTGAGAATCTAGCTGAGTGGTGAGAACTCTACACAGTATATCACTCTGTGCTCACTAGATTTGTGATCAATATTCATGTAAAAAACGCCGTAACTACAATCAACAAAGAAGCCAAACTTTTTCTAAATGTGTATTGTAGAACGTAACAGCAGAAATTTTAATCTCAGTAGATAAAATTTTAGTTCCAAAATTTTATTCATCTGAATTTTACTTGTGATTATTTATTTCATGAAGCCTTAAATAAAAATGAGTTGAGTTTGATGGTCCCTTGGATCAGTGCTTCTCAACTGGGTGAATGGTTCACCCGGGGGTTACTGAGATCAGAATCAGGGTGAATGAGAATGATGGGGTGTAAGACAGGGTGAATGAGTATTATCAATTATACAACAAATTCAAGAGCAAAAAAGTCATTAGTTATTATTCTAGTTGTAGTTTGAGAAATACATTTATGTTTTGTTTATTTATGTTGTAACGAGTATATTATGTATTTATTTTCAATATGGACGTTGTTTGGATTGAATTTGTATTTAGAAATAGGCGTGACTT